TTATGAGAAATATTTATCTTCTTTAAAAGTAAAATATATTAACAATTAATTTAAAACAAATTTTTATTAATAGATGACAGTTATTTGTCTCTATGATCAATACTCCTTCAGTTACTCCTCAAAATTTATTCTTAAATTAATTATCCTTTTTTATTTTTAAGGGTGACATTTTTTTAACTTTAATTATATTTTAATTATTGTTATCCCTTAGTTTTAATTATCAACTTAATTATTGAATCTTTTATCTTTTTTTTTTTTGAAACTATCTTTATCTTTTTTCTTAAAGGAAGTAATATAGGTAAATAAATAAATTGTCTTTAAATTTTTAACAACAATGCTATAATTATAATTATAATACTACATAAAATTGTAAGTTTTTAATTATGACATTTAATTAAATAAATATAATGTATTATTAAATAAATAGTTACATACAACATTTCAGGTGAACTTTTGAATAAATAAATAAGCATAATTATAGGTAAATAAATATATTGTCTTTAAATTTTTAACAACAATACTATAAGTATAATACCATATAAAATTATAAGTTTTCAATTATGACATTTAATTAAATAAGTATAATATGTTATTAAATGAATAATTATATATAATATTATAGGTGAATTTTTTAATAAAAAGAGTCAGCGATATAATAGCAATACTATAATTACAATTATAATGAAACATTAAATCAATATGACATATTATTAAATGAGTAAATGAAGACAACATCATAAGTAGACCTTTGAGTGAAAAGCCAATTATATAATAGCAATGCTATAGTTATAAGTTACGTAAAATTGTAAGTTTATAATTATAACATGACACTAAATCAATATGACATATTATTAAATGAGTAGATTTATAATATCATAAATCGACCTTTGAGTAAAGAGTTAATTATATAACGACATATTATATTGTAATCTTATAGTATTGTAATTATATTATTTTTTATTATATAATGGCATATTATATTGTCAGTTTATAATAATATTTTACATGTAATTATATCATTTTTTTAAATTTTAATTTGTTAAAAATCGACAATTATTGTGGAAAAAGAATACTACTTATAAATGCATTTACCCTTCAATGGTATGGTCATTTTTATGCAATTTTAGTAAAAAAAACTCATTCCAATAATTAGGCCCGTGGTTCGGTTACAAAGTTATTTATTTTAATTCTTATCAATGGTTATAAAGTTATTTGTGTTTTTAATGCCGTATTTAAGATTCAATTTTTACTTTGTATAAAAAAACTAATTCCAAATTTAAAAAAAGATACTTAAGGAAATTCTATGATCTTGAGAAATTTAGTAAAAAATCAAAATCTAGGGGGCAGAAATTTTTTTTTGTTGTTATTATGTTTTTTAGAAAATTTAGTTGTCTTTTCATAACTAGAAAAAAAGAGTTTT